TTGTATGTGATGACGGATTCCATCGATGAGAATACGAGCAGTGCACAACCCGGTCGGGCGAATTGGACTGTCATTAGCACCGCATAACATGGGGCCGGCATAAGGAGTTTGCACTTTACGCAGGCGAAAACACAATTCACGATCAATTACCGAAATTGCGGCTCTAGTGTCTATAAGGGCGTCAACAAAAACACCTTCCACAGAAACAGGCAGTAAATTAGCTGGACGAGACGGAGGAGTTGTAGCATTCCGACGACAAGCAGTTTCCCCTCCAAAAACTGCACCTTCTAGTTTTCCGAGTCCCGAGAGATCGGAGCGGGACGCAAGGGTGATGACGTACGCCGAAACGGTGACGGAGAACGGCGGCGAGATGAACGAGACGGATGAGGCCCAGCATGAGACCGTGGAGGGGAGGGCGACTGACGGAAGGTGGATGAATACGATGCGGGATCGTATTCATCGGGTCTCGGGGAAAAGTCTCTCTCGTAAGCTGAGTAACCACGTCGTTCATCCTGCTGACGGCGGCGGCAGAAACGGGATATATGACCCCTTATGCCACAGTAGAAGCAGATGGGGCGGGGAGGACGCCATGTAGAATAGTGGCGTGGCCTTGGCGCTTGCGTTGTCATCGCAGCCACATGGTCGCATCCGACGTCCGCAGGCATGGTTGGAACTGGTGCAGGGGCCCGCGATGCAACTTCTGCGTACGAAGGCACTGGGAGGAGCACAGGAGACGGGGCATGTGCAGCGCTTGTCATTGATGCCAGTTCGTCTTTGATTATCTCTCGCAGGTTGGGAGGAGGTGTGTGGACAGACGCAACGGTAGGGTTGCCTGGAATAAGGCCGTGAAGTTCTTCTCTGACGATTGTGCGGATAAGGGCCCGCAATTCATGCTCTTTGGTAAAGCGAGCGTCGCAGGAGGCGTGTGGAAGGCGCATGGAATGAAGCGCGTCCAGGCGTTGGCATGTAGTGATGACGTCCCGGACGGTGGTCGGATTCTGAATCACGAGAGCATTGAAGGCCACAGAGTTGATGCCTTTCAGTAGATGTCGGACGCGATCGGCCTCCGTCATGTCATTTTGTGCTCGGCGACAGAGAGCCAGGATATCTTCAATGTAGGACGTATACGATTCGTCGTCCCCTTGAATGCGGGTTGCGAGCTTCTGTTTCGCTACTACAGAACATCCTGCAGACGTGCCAAATACCTGACGGAGATGCCCCGTGAAGGCCGACCAATTGGAGAAGTCGCTCTCGTGGTTGTAATACCATGTTTTAGCGACGCCATCGAGGTAAAAAGGAACGTAGCGCAGTTTGTGCGCCTCATCCCAATAATTGCAAACGCTGGTTCGATCATAACTGTCGAGCCATTCTTCGACGTCTTCGTTGCGAAGGCCGGAAAATACCGGAGGGTCTCGATGAGAGGTACTCACGGTGTAGTGAAGCCTAAGTGGCTGAGAAGGAGCGGTTGCAGCAGTGGGCGGGTTGGGTTCTGCCATTGCTGTTGCTTGAGGGCACAACCGTCGACCAGACCGGAGCTCCAGGGGTGACGGGTAGAGCAGGAGGACGTGGGAACCAAAGCACGCTCCACCACTTATGAGACCACGTCCGGTACGGCAGCAACCAGGTTATCCTTTTTTTTAATCCAGACGCACGAGCCAGAGAGCCAGCCCGCGTGACATACGATGATGATCACTACAATGGTTTGGTCATACAGATGAAGATGAAGTACATAGTCAGCGCTCACATTAGAAACAAATTCAGCCAAATCATTGCCAAACTTACTCACCAATGACAAAACGGATTCTCATTTAAAAGAGTGATACGTACATACATACATATACGCACACACACATGTACATACATACATACATACATACATACATACATACATACATACATACATACATACATACATACATACATACATACATACATACATACATACATGCATGCATGCATGCATGCATGCATACATACATACATACATACATACATACATACATACATACATACATACATACATACATACATACATACATACATACATACATACATACATACATACATACATACATACATACATACATACATACATACATACATACAGGTGTAAATATTGAAATGAATGGCTATAAAACAACAATTTTAATACACTCATTTTGAATATACAGAAAGTAACTTACGAGAGAAATCCACTAGCACTGTTATGTGTGAACACGATGTTTCTTGAACCATCTCGCAAAAGCTTGATGCATAGTTTCTGCTGCTGCCCAGTGACAAGCAGTTTTTAAAAAAACATAAGTATAAAGCCTTTTAAGATGTCATGCTAAAGAAAAGGGCTGTGCATCAATATTTTGTACATGTCTGCAATATCACTCTATTTATATACATATATTGGCTCATTCACAGCCCACTAACAAAGCATGTTAGGACTCTCGGGCTGAAAGTTGGCACAGCGCAAAGAAAATCTAGACAATACATGAATAATACAATTATAAGCTACTAAGCTCCTTAGTGCAAGCAGTGTTTATATTGACAGCAATAGGCGCCTGTGACGTAGTGTCAGTTTTGGGCCCAGGACCACTCAGCAAGGAACTGAATCGAACCACGAGTGCACAGACACACACACGAGAATATATACAGAGAACGTAACTATGAACGAGTAACACCTAAAGTAGTAAAAACACGCAGTCTATAGCTGTGCTCAATGTCTCTCTAAATCAGAAAAGTCTCGCCGTTTTTTGATGTGGCTTGCGGGTCACCGGCGCCCATTGCTCGTGGGCTATGCGATGTCTGGCTTGTTGCCGTTTTCAACGTGCGTCGGACCACGCCGTGACACGGCCTTCTGCCGCAGCAGCACTTGTGAGTAGCTGATTGGTAGCTCCGCAGCAGCCCTCCGCCACCACGCTCGTCTCAGCAGCGCACCGGGGTCGCGCCAGCCACCCGGAACGGCAGCAGGAACATCAGGCCCGCAGCAACCAAAACCCACAGCCCCTCTGGGCGGCAGCCAGCACCGCGGAACTTCTCCTGGTCCCTTGGCCAGTCGCCCAGCCGGAATACAGGCCTCGTTCACAGGATGTCCAGCCGTCCGGAACGGCAGCCAGAACAGCAGTGGATCGCCTGGTCCCTGGGCCAGTCGCCAAGCCGGAGTCCAGGAACGGTATAGCGCCTAGATGCCGTCGTCTAGTTCCCCGGACCGGACGTCCAGCCCAGAACTGACTCCTTGCATGCGCTGCCTCGAACCACCCCACCCACCACACCCACTCTTCGTTTTCCTCTTTGCCCCCGCATGGCGAACACTGAATTCTTTTTTTCCGCGCTTCTGTATCATGACATCGCCATTTCGTTTTCTTAAAAACAGTTCTCAAATGTAGAATCAACTTTATTTAGTTAAGAATTTTTATTCTGGCGCGTCGTGGTGGTTTAATGGGGGAAGCGACTCTTTCGGCCAAGAAAACAAAGACCAATTATTTTTCAGTTCGTGAATTCACCCAATGCTAACATTGAGGCAGCTGGTAGAATTGGTTTTGGAGAGAGGAAACCACCACATTCCCACCAGTTGTGGTTTTGGGTAGCTAGTTCACTTGGACTAAAATGATGAAAAACACTCCTCAAGAAGACTTCAAAGTTTGCACATCAACACAGTCCCCATACAGCTGTCTATTAGTCTGCTTGAAAAATATTCAGTTTACTGGTGGGCAAAGACTGTACACTATGTGAGGTGAAGATCCAGGGCACTGCATGTATGTCTTGCTGCTGGCCTCAACTGCGATGTTGTTCAGCACGTATGTGTAAAATCACAACTAATACTATGCCACTGCAAAGTAATTATGCGTCATTTGCATGAAACAGGGACCACAATGAAAGAACATAAGAACAATTACCTTAACACAGTTCGAAAAATGTAAAGACATTTCCATAGAGTTTTTATAGCTCATCTGAGAATAGTATTAATGGTTATAAACACATTATTACTTCTCTAACAAAGTCTTTTAAGATGCCAGCTTCAATATTAGAGTATACCAGTACCTTTGTAGGGCTAAACAATTGTACAGGCACTTAGAAAAAGATAAGTAAATGCATGCTAAAGCTACATATAAATTAAAATAGATACTTTTATTTCTAGTCCAAGTAAAGCTGCATACATGATAAGTCACTTGCATAGTACACGTTTACATTACGAACAAACCTATCTGGCAAAGTATACATTAAAAAAGTTACGCTAACACAGTAGAAACAGAGAAGTAGAATGCTGAAGGATGGACGAACAGTGGGATAACAATACACAAGCACTGAAATCTACTGTTAAGATATACTAGGAGTAGTGATGATCCTCTTCCTTCCAAATAAATTAATTCACATAGATTCACTTTCCAGAGCTTATACACTCATGGAATCATTGGTGCTATACCAATGAGTGTAGACTGAAGGATTACATCGAATAAGTACAAGAATACCTCATCCATGGCTTTACTTCTTGTACTACAAAGAATGCAAACACAGTACCCATTGCCGACCATGGATGCTGTGATTTATGGCAGGTAAAGGCAGAGACATGCAGGCACTTAACATGCATGTTAAAAACTTCAGCTCAAAAATATTTGCCCACTAACACTACCACAGCCTTTAAACTAGTGCCATAGTTTGGTATCTTCCACGCAAAATTTAAATAACTTAGATTGCAAGCAAAGGGACTGCTGAATAATGCACTGCTAAGAAGTTAGGCTGCAGCTGTGCAGAATGTTACTACGTATACAATTCAAACTGCTCCTGACATCACAATGTGCTCTTTCTGCTGTAGTAAACTTTGAGCAGGAGAATAGTCACTGGCAGTCCCTTTATACTTGTTGGTCTTCTGTGCTCTGTTCTTGATAGACTGTACATGACCATGGAGCACCGGATCCCTTGTTACGGCTGGAACTTAGAAAAATACTGATCATTGATACAACCATGCTATTAGCAAAAGTGTGCAGTTGCTACATATGTGCTCATATTTACAGATGTCATATTTTCAGAAGCCAACGACAAGCCTCAACATACACGCAAACAGTGAAGACTGAAAATGTATTTTATTATGATACAAGAGCAAAACTACAATGTTATAGATGAAGGCTTGAAACTTTTGCCAGGCATAAAATACCAATAAAGTTTCATTTATTTTGACTTTACACTAGGTGCGAGAAGCAGACCACAAATAAGTTCACTAAGAAACACAAGTTAGACTTCATTACAACACAACAGCCAAGGTTCGTAACTTTAAGGCTCTCTAACATAGCCAGCTCACCATACCGCGTTTAGGAGCAAATGGGCAGTCTAAAAGACACAAAGCACTTGTAGATTATGAGTGTGCTTGTTGCTGACATCTATTTTTCTAAAAGAAGAAAACCTTTCAAAAATTCACTTCATCAGGGGAAATAATCATGTGCAACAAACACAACGGGCTCTTACAGGTGCCACCAACACTCACCATTATTGTAGATACCAGTGTCTTGCCGGATGGATATGCTGCGCCCTGCACAGAACACCAAAAGAGGCTCCATGACTTGGCTTGCATGTGTGCTGGCTGCATCGCACTGCTGCTAAAATAGGCTAGCCACAGACAGACATATGAGGAGCCATGGCTTTGAAACACACTGAACGTCGCCCTTAGAGATGTACAATACGTAGTTAAGTCGGGTACAATTTGTAGAAAAATATATATCACTATGCCATCGAGGTGAACACGTTCGGCTGAAACACAACAAGCCACAGCACTGAAAGAGAAAAAGCTATATGAAGTAAAAGATGCATTTACTGGCCCTATGTCATCTGAGGCTTGTCCAATAGGTCTTTCTCCTTGCAAGTTGTGAACAGCCAGGTCATTTCCACCCACTTGCTATTTCCTTCCAAAGCACTTGATCCACAGAGGGAGTCACAGGCTCGAGAGCTCAATAAGGATTCAAAGTATTTGTGCTCGTTTAAAAGCACAAACTTTTGAGTCTCAGGTGATTGGAGTTTCATTCATAAGCTGCAGGTTTCAACTTTCAACATTGTCAAGTATCTTGCTACTTATTTCTATAAATGTTGAATGAGAATTATGTGTGAGAATAATACAGGTATCACAGCAAGCAACCATGCTTGGGTTTTCAATTTGTGCACAGTAAGTGGTCTTCACTTAATTGCATGTATTAAAGAAAAACTAACCTTGCAGCCAGCCATTAGGCCGTTTTGTGCCCTCGAAGCTCCCAAGTAGACCGCCCGCAGGCCTTCCAGATGAGGCTGCCATGCATGCTTCCTGGGCACACCCGCTGAGTGATAACAGTCCCACCAGTGACATGGGCTTGCACAGTTAGAGAGCAGGTGTCCTTCCTCTTTTTGTACAGGAGCTTCAAGTCATGATGAGGATTCATGTGCCAGTGTGTGCAACCAATGCATCACAGGACCTTAACAAGGCAATCATGGCGATCTGTGAAGAGCCGAAAACGAGATATTTAAAAACAATCAATAAAAGCCCTCACTTTTATTACTTCTTTGACGACGCTATTACTTCGTTAAAGTGACCAAAATCTGCTATAATAACTTTAAAATAAACTGAAACCTCATGTAAAATTTGCGTACCACAATATATATGTCCTAGTGAAGTATAGTGCTACCACAGTGGTAATCGTCTATAGAACTAATTTTTCAAAATAACATAAATTTCTCAAGTGCAACCTGGCTCCTGGAAAATCACATTAACTTTCCAACTATCAAGCGTGGTAAATCGACAGGCACAACCTCATAATCAAACAAGAACTCACTTGTATCAAATCACAAAAAACTTCTGATGTATTTGCTCCATAATATATGTATGTATAAAACAGTAGTAGTAAATTTTTCGTGCTTCAACTTACCATAGGAAACATTACATCTCATGGGCTTAAAAACTTCAACACGTTATAGGACCGGTGAAATTTAGTTCTAAAGGTGAACTCACCGATGGCAGCATTTAGTAGCCATAGGTGTCAAGAGGAACCAAGTGTGCTCTACGGCCAACAGGCAAAGGGCATCTGCAGACTGGAAGCTGTCGATGACAGCACTGAAGGGCTGGCCAGGCCTGCACGTCCATTGATGAAGTGTAAGAACTGGCCATGACCGGCTGTTGACAAGGCTCTAGTGCCATGCAAAACAATGGCCAGACGAACTCGAAAACCTGCAGTTAGGCGGTATTGGGCATCAACTTCATCCAAAGCAAGGCACCGGTGAAATCTTTGCTTTTTCTGGGGGCCAGAGGGAAGCTTGATGTTCACGGGCTCTCGCTGCCACATAGAACTCTCAAGTTATTACCGAAGAACAGTCTAGGCGCGCTTCCAAAGTGACACGATCCACAACAGAATGTAGCATCTCGCAGCTTTGGTTCATCACATCACAGCGCTAAGGTCTATGGTTATCACAAAAAGGAGAAAGGAGGAGTTAACGAACAAAACCGCCAAGCTCCACAACCGCAACTTCGCAGAGTAAAACAGTTATCAACGCTGTCTTTCAATTTGCGGTCACACGAGCGCAGCTTTTTCACAAGTCTTGGAACGTCAACACAGCACTACTATTCACAACGAACATCGTTTCACTCCCTAACACTAAATTGCTCTCAAGAAACTAGAAGCGTACGGGCTAACCAGTGGCGAAGCAAGAACCGAACACAGCGCGTAGTTCATACGTTTCCGTACGTACTTGGGGTCACTCAAGTAACGTGCCAAAACGCTGTCAATCCGAAATGTCGCACAGCCACCAACAGAGAGACTGGAAAGTCAAGCAAACGAACTGTTACCGGCACACAAACACACATCGCAGGCTTCTCGAATGCTAGTTGCCGTCGATACACTGACGCCGATCCCCGCTTCATAACCACACCGACGCACAGGCTTCGCTGCGCTTCACCGTACACCATTGCACTTCCGCAGCTTTCCGCACTGCTTACACGCCCCGAAAGAGCTGCCGTAATCACAACGCATCCGGTTTCACGGCGTGACAGAATGTGCTCGTATGTGTGAGGGGGTGATATGACGAACACGACAGGCGTGCCAGATGAAAGAAGTGTTTTGGCAACGTCACGGAGTGAGCGCTAGTACAGGGTATTGCTTCACAACCAATCACAAGCTGTGCCTGTCTGCCAAGCCGTCGTCTGCTCGCGTTTGTCATCTGCTTCGATCAGAGCATGTGACAGGAGATTCGCCTTCGCAACGCTATTATTCTCAGGTCAAGTGGTCGATGCGTCACACAAAAGACATATCAGTGACTCGCTATACCTTTGAATGATGTTCGTGCGCCAAGTTAAATGGCTGGTGATTGTCTCAGGGATGAATTCAGCCATGGTTTGCTCCAGAATTGTGAGGGTTTGCACATTTCCGGTGTCATACAAAGCTACTAGGGTCATTTTATTCCGACTGCTTGCCGTATTATCACGGTCCATATCGGTGCCTGAACAGTGAAGGTGAAAGGCATGATTTGTTTGTAGTTTCATGTGCAATCCCGCACACCCCTAATACGCTTCGGTTTACAAAGTACGCTCCGTTCCAGATCGCCCCAAAGTGTATCGACAGCTGTATTTCAGAGATCGCAACCATTGAACAGTTAGAGCGAATGGAAGTACACTAGAGAACAAGCTTTATGAACCACTCACTAAAAAGTTCCTTTCATTTTTATTTCCAATAGCATGCAAGCAATGTGCTCCCATTAATCTATTTGGTGGTAATTTCCACCAATGAGGCAAGGATCTCGAGTCGAACTTGTAAATGAATGAGATGGGGTGCAACACAACAACATAACACATAACGTTGATCCTAGGCCATGCCGCGTTCGAATGCACCGACCATTCACGTATCACATTGGTTTTCATCCAACCACAAATCTTTACATGCATAATTTTACACCATTGACGCCAAATAGAATTCTTCAATTACAGCGACTTCGAAATTATTGGACGACGGTGGTTGCCAACCCCATCCACTGCGTACAAGGGAAACAACACACGAAACTGAAAGCGCCGAAAGAAATAAAAACGCACCAGCAGTCATCAGGCAGCCATTCATGGGCGTGAATCAACTCAAAACCAGCCAGGGCACCAAAGTATACCGCCGTGGCGGCAGGTTCTAAGTAGCCACATTGTTCCTAAGAGTGGTCCGAACCACTCTTCGAATTTTGTCTCAGCCACGCTGTTTTTACGCACAATTTTGCTTCATGAGTCCACTTACAAGCACTTTTTGGTGACGTAAGCAAATAAGGCAACTGCATCACCACCGCTGGCACGTTCCTGGGCAGTCACAGCGTGCTTTATTGCAGCGGCCGATGTCACAGCGATGGCCTCTTACGACGTTTTTTTTCACTGTAACACTGTAATATGGTGCATGTGCGAACGATTCAGTACATGGTCAGTTCAGGTAATGATCAGTTCAGGTGAGGATGTTGTTAGAAGGCTATGCTTACAATTTCAAGGGAGTTCGCCCCTGCGGAGCGTAAGACGTCGACACCAACGACTCATTGTGAGCATGGCTTATACAAGGGCTTTGGGAGCTGCAAACAACTTCGAAATCAGTGTTCGTGCGAAATCTTGGTCTGTATTTCTGTGTAGCTGCCTTTCGCTGATCCTCCTCTCGGTTTGCGGGGGCTGAGACTAGTGGTGGTTATACTTGAGTGATGGAACTTGGGAAACGTGTTGCAGTGCTTTTGGGAGGTGTGACGAGCCAGTGGGCTTCCCACGTTTCTTTGGTGGCCACATCAGCGTACATGTCACCAGATGCCTCTTGGCTTCATGATAATCTTTCTTGGGCGAAGCCTTTCATATTCGTGCATGCAACTTCTGAATTGGGCGGTGGTTCGTTGCGCCTTCGTGGTATCTCTGGTGCTTCCTTCAGCGAGCATGCAAGTGTAGTAAAAATTTTATATAAAGCAAGGTGGTGACCACCGCACTTAGCATAGAATGTGCTCTTCAGGTACACTTCTTGTGCAAATGAGGACCAGCAGAGACTGGGCAGTGCACCAAGCCATTGCAAAGTCATGACATGTGACCATGCTTCTAGCACTTAGAACAATGTGTAGCTGCCCCCAACATACTCTGCGACCAGTTAGCTAAAAAGCCAAACATAGTCTCTTTAGGTACTGGTGAATCCTTGGCGAATTTCCAAATAACGTATCGACAGCGTACCTCTATGAC